ACAAATGACAGAATAACCACTCCCAGGTCTACTGATATGTTTACAAGGATGACCTACGCTCTCACAAAATCAAAGTGGGAGAGGGACCAGGGGAGGGCTGCGAAGGATCCCGGAGGATTCCGTGCAGCCCGACGATGGCTAACACTGGACCCGCAGCAGTCGATTTCACGGCCAGCGCGGTCTCCCCCATCTTCAGCTTTAGATTGTGGAGGTCCGGTCCACCCCGTCTGGAGAGAGAGCACACAGTGGGCACCGTGAGCAAAGCAGTTCCCATCAGCCGCCTGGTCCCACACCACGCAGCTCGGGCCTCTCAGTCTCTGAGGACAGATCAGGGCTGCATTCATTCACGCAGTCACTCAGTCCTTCCACACCCACCCGCTCACCAGCGGGGAAGGAGCTATTTGGCCGGTAACCATACTGAGCCGGCAGCCAAGACGTAGAGACCAACCCTCGCCGTCCCGGTGCTCACATCCTAGTCCCAACTCATTCATGTAAGCCCACTGTGGTGTATGAGTGGCCAGCGCTGCAATGCCGTGTGTACCAGGCACGGCAGAAACACGGGAGACGCAGTGTTAAGTCACCCTTAGAAACCAGGGACCGTTTCCCAGAGATACAACAGGACTTCCATGGATGCTGCTGCAGGCGGAGAGAGGAGCAGCCGGAGAGGATGAGTTGGGGAGGGCACACAGCTCACCTATAGGCATGATGACGGCCATCAAACGGTGAGCTGCGGGCAGGCTGGGGGTTTGGGGTGAAGGACGGGGACGGAGGAGTGGCCGGAGAGGAGCCACAGTCAGGCAGGGCCTGCAATGACCTGCAGGTGGACCTCACTCACATCTCTCTCTCTGGGAGCCTCTCCCTCCCATCCCGAGGCTCTGCTGAATGGCTGGGAATGAGGTGGCCGTGACTCTGAGCCCTGGTCACAGCTGAGCAGACCTGGGGGACGCATCGGACCCAAACTGACTCAGATTCTGTCTCAAGAATCGGACCAGGGGCAGACAGCACGGTTAGGTGTGGTGGGCACCGGGCACGGCGGAGCCGGTGGAAGACGGACAGTGTCGAGGCCGCCAGGATGTGCCGTGTCTGGTTGCGGGCTACAAAGTGGGGGGGCATGTGCACCAGAGTTGAGAAGCCGTGAGTGGACAGACGGTAGAGGGGCCCAGGGCTGCCTGACCCCTTCCTGGCTTCCCGCTTACACATAGATTGTAGGAGAGTGCCCGGAACCAGACCGTTAGGGTCTGGTACTATGAACGGGAGCTTGGACGTCGGGGGTTAGGGAACTATAAGCAGGGGAGCTGCCAGGTCTGATTTTAGAATGGTTTTCCTGGCAAGGCTGGTGGCAGGACCACCAGTGAAGAGGCGCCTACAATGGTCCATGCTGGAGCCGACGAGGGCTTATCAGCGAACAGAGAGAGGGGCAAGGGCTAGCCAGCACAGGGGGTACCAATGGCTGTGCTCAGCAACCACGACCTGAAGGCCACGGGGGTGGGGGGAGGAAGGGGATGCAGGGTACCTGCCTGGTTTTGCTTATATCCAAACGCCAGCAGACGTGTCCCAGTCTCAGCCTAGATATCGCAAACCTGGCCTACCAGATGGAGCCTCTAGATCAGCCGTGGGCAAACTACGGCCCGCGGGCCGGCCCGTTTGAAATGAATAAAACTAAAAAAAAAAAGACCGTACCCTTTTATGTAATGATGTTTACTTTGAATTTATATTAGTTCACACAAACACTCCATCCATGCTTTTGTTCCGGCCCTCCGGTCCAGTTTAAGAACCCATTGTGGCCCTCGAGTCAAAAAGTTTGCCCACCCCTGGTCTAGATGCCCTGGGCAGGACTCAGGTGTGAGGGGAGGGCAGGATGCTTCAGGGACAGCTGGAGGGCCTATGTGGTGGAGAGGCATCCTGAGGCCACTGAGGGGTCTCTTGGGCCCCGCATGGCGGTGCCTGGCTGGTGTCTCACCAGCAGGGACTTGGAGGAGAAAGATTTCTTAATTGAAATTTTGATTGTGATCACTGTCAGCTCACATACGGGTGTAAGAAATAGTACCAGGTTTCCCCAATGGTATTATTTTGCAAAGCTTTAGTACATTATCACCACCAAGATTTTGACACAGTTTGCCCATCTTATGTAGATTTCCCCAGTTTTACTTGGACGTGTGTGTGTGTGTGTGTGTGTAAATTCTATACAAAATTTGGAGTGTTTTTAAATGAGGGAAGCAGATGCCCCCTAAGGTCATCTGTGGTATCAGATCGCCAATCCTAGAGGCCCTCAGATGTGAACTTACCACCCATAACCTCTCCCCACGCTCTGTGGGTGTCTACTTGCACCTCCCGCGGTGGCTCTGCAGTGGGAACTGGTGATGGGAGAACAGGAGGGTGTGTGCGCACACACATGCGTGCGTGGGGTGGGGGTGCACTGGTCACTCCCTCATCCGCAGTGCACACTCCTGCCAGGGCTCCCTGGCCCACTCATTACTGCCAACCCTTCCTAGTTGTGGGAGTGGGAGCTGGAAACCTGGAAATCTCAACTACCCAACCCCCAGTCACATTTTCAGGAATTCCAGCCATAAACCTCATCTACCCAAAGGTGACGGTTTTCATCTGCAGGGAAAGGACCAACAGGCAAGTCCAGACTCACCATTCACCGCTGTGCAAACTGTGCCTTGCACAACTCCAGGGGGTGCTATTCACATGCCACCACCATAACGTTTACAGTAGGGATGATATATTTCGAATAAAAGACAGAACAGCACGTTGAGAAAGTGGAGCCATTTCCTAACTTGCGCAAATCTCCCTCCCTGCCAGCTAGGTGTGGGGCTGTAAGACCCAGGACGGAGCCAGGAGAGACGGTGATGGGAAGGGCAGGGGTCATGGGGGAAGCAGGAACCCCGGAATATGGGAGGGACTGCGCATTCCTCTCTATGGTACACCTCACTGCAAACTCCATTCTGCTGGGAGGAACCTCGATTTTGTACTGGTTGCCCATAGAAACCCTCCGCAGTCAGAAAATAACAACCAGGCTGGGCACTGAGACTTCCTGAAACCTGGGCCACCAGGCAGGGGCAAGCCCCAAACAGCCAGAGTAATTAAGCCTTACCTGGAGA